TGAGTCAGACAAGGTTTCTTGTGCCTTACATTGTTGGCTGCCGTAAGAATAACATAATGAGTATCTGGGAAGAAAAAACTGAGCTTACAAGGTCCATTTTCAGTGGAGCACATCTTCTTGGCTTTGGTGGTATCATATACCTTTGCTGAAACATTAACTTCCATAGTCAAGATTATGTTCTTTGCATTCATGTTTAGAACTCCAATGTGGTATCTATCATCTTCCTCGACCATGTATTCAGCTTCTTTACCTAGTAATGTCCACAAAAATCAAAATGCCCTGCCTCTTTCAAAATTTCCATTTAGCTAGCAAATAAAAGATAAATGGGCGTAACACTAGAGAATAGAATTGGACATATTGCTCCTTAATTGGTATGAATTTCTTATTGAAAGAAATAATGACTGACGTAAGCTTTCTGAAAAAAGATTGTTTCTTTAAAATAAATTCATGACAAGCGAGAAGCAACTTATAATGAACAACAATAAGTATTTCTGATTTTTGTTGACTAGTAATATGACTAAATAGTATAGTAAATGAGAGTCAACCCTCTTCTTTTAAATTAGTTTTTAATGTTGAGTTAAATTTTAAGATGATGTAAATGAAAGTTTACCTTAATAATTGTTAAACTTAACAAACAGGGTGTTATCAAACAACTCAAATGAATAATCTTTGTCAAGAATAGGGTAGGTTGAGAATCTCACGTCAATTATTAATGAGAGAAATAGTGTATAGAAGTACAAAAGAATTTGGAATTCGTGATCCAAATTCTAGTTTCAAAATTGCAGCCCATGCTTAATTACTAATATCACTAAAGTCGTTTTTGACCCAATTTTTTGCTAAGACAGCTAATTCTGTAATCAATTACCATTAACAGTCTCTCGAAGAGAAATTGAATTGAGGAAGGTCGTATGTGAATCCTGTAGTTGTTCAAACCTCACGTCTCCTGCGAAATAAGAATGATTCTTGAGACAAACCTGAAATTCATACTAAAAAAAATGAAAAAAGAGAGACAGGCATGACCTTTAACCACCATTCCATGTAGCTTATCCAAACCAGTAGTAGTATGTTCTTCCCACCTAAGACGGATGGTGGAGCCGTGATTTAACCACAGAGAAATCCCCTGAAGTTGAAAAGTCAATTTCTTCAAAGACATTCTTCTGGGTGATTGGTTTAGAACAAACCAAACCAAACCAAACCTTGTAACAATGTTACCTTGCTTTTATACGCTTCAACAAGGAAAAAATCCGACGCCGTCCAATTAGTTTGGGAGCTCAACTCGGGCTTCTTATTGAAAGTGTGAACAAAGACTTGATTTTTATCCTTGCTTGACACTTGAAGCTGCTTCACAAAAACAGAACTGGTTGTAATCAAACGGGATGAGGCAGGACCAAGCAAGATAAAGGAATCCCTGTAATACCCATAACGGAGTGTTGCTGAAACTGCAAAATAGAAACATAGAGAAAAAAAGGAAAAAAAGAAAAAGGCAATGCGTTAGAAAGAGTGATGAAAGGAGGGAGGGAAGCACAGAAGATGAAAAATGACATGCCAGAAATCCAAATGGCGAGAGGAGGCAGCATCCAAGCATGTTGCCACCGGTGAGGCTGAGATTGTGCAGTGCGCATGGGTGGATGTAACAGAGCTATTGATTTGATACAATTCAAGATAGCAGCATTGAGAGTTGAAGAGTTTGTCTCTTCTTTTATGAAACTAAACGTTAGGTGTGGTGTGAGAGATTGGCGGGTATTTGAATTGCTGGTACAGGCATGTATGTTGAACGTTAGGTGCTACTTACTATAAGTTTAATTACTTTCCACATCAACTAGTTCAATTCTGCATTTCTNTGTTTACATACATACATACATATATATATATATATATATATATATACATACATACATATATATATATATATATATATATATATATATGTTTGAAAACCAATATTTGATTTTTCTGTGATGACCGGAGTAATTTAATTGGGTAGATCAGCGAAGGAAGCTTATTATGAAATTTAATCTCTCACACTCTCTCTATGTTGCCATGACCTAATCGAAACAATCCCTCTGCCCTCTTCCTAATTTTCCCTTCCAAGTTGAAACCAATGTGTGGAAGTATCTGAAGCCAACACCCTAAAAGCACACCCTTTTCCTACAAAACGACTACGCTTTGTTCGTCGTCTCCACCGAGGTGTGTTATTCGCTCATTGCCTCTACTCTTCAAATATTATTCACCATCATACTTGCATCCAATAAAGACGTTGACTTCGTGCTTGTTCTGGAAGTGGAACACTCTAGGCGAGACTCGCATTTCCAACTGCGACAACCGCAGAACCGCACTTCCAAGTGCGACACACACTAAACCGCAGTTCCAACTGCGGCGAGACCATAACTGCATTAGTCTCCAACTTTGTCCCTGCCACATATCTTCGTCCCTACCACAAATCCTTTATTCATCCACAATACAATCCCACAAATGCCTCTTAATCACACAACACTCGAAGGACGAAAGTTTTGTGAGAATGAAGGGAGAAGGAGAGGAGGAAGAGAATGGGAGGAGGAAAAAAGGGTGCAGGGTTTGGTATGAAATGCGGAAGAGAAAATGAGTTTTTTGAAATGACTCAAACAAAAATAAAGCAGTTAAAGGTTATGCCAAAGGTTCTGCTCTTCTAACAGAGGCACTATTGTAAAAGTAAAAAAAGAGGAAAGTGCAGGACGAGATACCTGAGATGTAGGATGAGATACCTGAAGTGTATGAAGAATCACTCTTTTTCCTTTTCTTTAAAGGAAAAACCAAACAATCATACTATATTTAGATAACGTAATATCATACTTAATTAATTGTGTTAGTTAATTAGCTAATTTTTTCCATTACTTATTTATAATTTTTGTTCTATTTTACTTCATTGGTTTAAATTGATTTTAAATTTCAAATAAATGAAATTTGGTCTTATAATCTTTTAAAATCAATACAATTCCGTACCTATCGTGTAAATTGAATTAATAGTCTTAATTAATGACATTGTCAATGAAAGAATATCGTGGCCAATTAGTAATGACAATTTAAAACTGTTATCATTAATTAATATCGCTATTTTAAGTCAATTTTGGGAAAAAAAGTGAAACCAATTAAATAATGAATAATTAATTTGAACCATTTATTGAAAGTACAACAAATTGAACTGAACAAATAAATGATATAGAAAAACTAATTAAACCTAATTTTTTAAAGTAAGTTCTCACGTTTTAATTTCATAAATAGAAAAAATAATTAAAAGAAAATATCGATAGAAAAAGCAGTAGCCGACAAATTGACTAAATTATATATATATATATATATATATATATATATATATATATATATTACCACTAACTATTTATAATTTAAAAATTTATTGGAGTAATTTTAGATAGATAGATATAATATTGGGGGAGCCAAAATATGCTGGCACTGTAGTGTAGTGTTGTCTCATGCAACAATACTGTTTAAAACAATTCCAAAAGGTAAACAGTGTGATGAACTGAAAACATAGCCTTACCTAGTTGATACCGAGCATCTTATGGTTATCTGAAACTTGTGTCTCAACAATAATCCATAGAATTGGTGCTCTTTATGGAAGAAGATCGTAAGTCCAATTCCAACCCATAAAGATCTGCAGGGTGCAATTACATATAAAGCTTTGATTTTGGCGGTTTGTAGCTTGTATTGTAGCATCTGCAGCCATAACAACAGCCATCAGATTTTGTTGAAAAAAAGCCAAGTGGGGCCATCCTCATACACTTTCACTGGCTCCCTTTTCTGATTCTCTATTATGTACCCGTGCTTTTATTCACCTGCAAGTTCAGAAAATCTTAACCAGAATTGGGTTACTCTGATGTGAGAGTCAATGAAAGGTGAAGGAACGACTGAAGTGAAAAAATTGGCATGCAATAGTTCATGTGAACAGTTGCAGCACCATTTGAAGCCACACAACTAGTCTCCTTTGTTGACCCTTTTGGCAAACCACTCGGCATTCTTTATATTGGGAATATTTCTTTCAAGATTGAAGATTAAAATTCCACGCATACATATGTCTGAACTTTCTATCCTTAATTCGAAACGTGTTATAATCACTCATTTCCTATCACTAGCTATCTCTTGGCTGTGGCTACAAGCTCATACAAGGTTAATAGATTTTGGGTCAAACCACTATGTTCCCGAGTTACAAAACTAGGTGTGGTTTATGTACCATGGTGGCTCCTGATTCCAGCAATCAGACAAACAATAGTTTTGGTAAATTTCAGCTTAACAGCCTATTATAGAGGAATATGTTAATTCCTTTTAGTTAAAGTATCAGGACATCATGGAAGGGTGAGTATACAACTTTCAACACAAAATGACTTCAAGGGCCAGGACTATATCAGAGGGTAGAATATTTCTATACAAAGTGACAGACTTAAAGAAAATGATGTTTGGGGAAATTGAAAAAAGCTTTTTATGATGGAATAAGCTATATCATGCTCGATATAGATAAATTCGTGCCCTCACCGATGAATTGCTGCATACTAAACATGATATTAGTTCGCGGGGAATACTGAGCTGATGCCAAATCCGAACAAAAATCTGTCTTACAAATGACTTGGAGTTCCTTTATTCTCAGCAACTTCTTTTATAAAAATGCTTTTAAATACTTTAAGGGAATAAAAGTATACCTTTTCTTTCATAATTGTAACAAACAAACAAACACAACTTACATTTATGATGAATTTCTAAAGATCAAGTTACCTTCTATATATACTTAAAAACCTCCTTTTTAAAACCAAATATTAGACACAAGTAGTAAAAAGTCTTTTTTTTTTTTTTTCAAATCACTACATCTATTGGAAGAGCTATTCATGGTTGAATCAAGAAAACAAAAAATCAGACTTTTTAAAGTTAAAAAGCATTGTTCAATACAAGTGTCAGTTACGGGTAAGAACAAATTTATCTGTGTGAACTTGTGATGAAAATATGAAAAGAATATATAAGAAAAGTCTATTTTTTTTGGTTGCTTAGTTAGCCGAAGTATATGCTGAAACGATAGTTACCCATTTCCCCTGCAGCTTCATGCAAAAAATAGAAAATAACATCATTCAATCTCTTCACAAAACCCACACCCAAAGTCTAATTCCCAGCTATCTACATGATCCCTCAAATCACATCACTACAAGACACATGTCTGTGAGCCTAAATGGGAAACAATCTTCGTACATTGTGAATAAGCCTTCGGCATATAGGACATACTCTGCTCTCCTCATCGACAATCCTGCAAAATGCACTCAAATGTGAATCTTCTGAACTTTGTATAAACTGAAGCCTGTGAAAATATTCAGTAGTGAGTACCTCTGTGCGCAGTCATAGCAAGTGGCACAGTGTCCACAAGGAACAAAGAAGCTGTTGCGTTGTTCATCATAACAAATGCAACATAATTTTTCATCATATAACTCCTCTGAGGAAGAGCTACTACATGCTTCTGAATTTTGTTTATCATCTTTTGCATTTGTTCCATATGACATTCGATTTTCCTCCCCTCGCATCAATGGCTCAGTTTCGGCCCGTGTTGCAACCACATTACTTGTTCTGTATGTAACATCGATTGTAACTTGACTATGCTGCTCAGCATCACCATAAACTCCAAGAATTTTCAGAATCAGATAAACAACAATCGCAATAACTCCTACACGCAAAAATGCGGCATCTTTAGCAACAAAAAGTATATATAATTCAACCAAAGGCTTCAGAACAGAAACTTTAATCATTGTACCTAGAAGTAATACGTAGACAAACACACGGGCCACTAAAGAAATGTCAACATACGTTACCCCATCTCCCTGTAACCAATCGATGTAACAATGTATTGTTGAGTTACTTCGGTGAAGATCTCCAAAGTTAAATGAGTCAGACAAGGTTTCTTGTGCCTTACATTGTTGGCTGCCGTAAGAATAACATAATGAGTATCTGGGAAGAAAAAACTGAGCTTACAAGGTCCATTTTCAGTGGAGCACATCTTCTTGGCTTTGGTGGTATCATATACCTTTGCTGAAACATTAACTTCCATAGTCAAGATTATGTTCTTTGCATTCATGTTTAGAACTCCAATGTGGTATCTATCATCTTCCTCGACCATGTATTCAGCTTCTTTACCTAGTAATGTCCACAAAAATCAAAATGCCCTGCCTCTTTCAAAATTTCCATTTAGCTAGCAAATAAAAGATAAATGGGCGTAACACTAGAGAATAGAATTGGACATATTGCTCCTTAATTGGTATGAATTTCTTATTGAAAGAAATAATGACTGACGTAAGCTTTCTGAAAAAAGATTGTTTCTTTAAAATAAAGTCATGACAAGCGAGAAGCAACTTATAATGAACAACAATAAGTATTGCTGATTATTGTTGACTAGTAATATGACTAAATAGTATAGTAAATGAGAGTCAACCCTCTTCTTTTAAATTAGTTTTTAATGTTGAGTTAAATTTTAAGATGATGTAAATGAAAGTTTACCTTAATAATTGTTAAACTTAACAAACAGGGTGTTATCAAACAACTCAAATGAATAATCTTTGTCAAGAATAGGGTAGGTTGAGAATCTCACGTCAATTATTAATGAGAGAAATAGTGTATAGAAGTACAAAAGAATTTGGAATTCGTGATCCAAATTCTAGTTTCAAAATTGCAGCCCATGCTTAATTACTAATATCACTAAAGTCGTTTTTGACCCAATTTTTTGCTAAGACAGCTAATTCTGTAATCAATTACCATTAACAGTCTCTCGAAGAGAAATTGAATTGAGGAAGGTCGTATGTGAATCCTGTAGTTGTTCAAACTTCACGTCTCCTGCGAAATAAGAATGATTCTTGAGACAAACCTGAAATTCATACTAAAAAAAATGAAAAAAGAGAGACAGGCATGACCTTTAACCACCATTCCATGTAGCTTATCCAAACCAGTAGTAGTATGTTCTTCCCACCTAAGACGGATGGTGGAGCCGTGATTTAACCACAGAGAAATCCCCTGAAGTTGAAAAGTCAATTTCTTTAAAGACATTCTTCTGGGTGATTGTTTTAGAACAAACCAAACCAAACCAAACCTTGTAACAATGTTACCTTGCTTTTATACGCTTCAACAAGGAAAAAATCCGACGCCGTCCAATTAGTTTGGGAGCTCAACTCGGGCTTCTTATTGAAAGTGTGAACAAAGACTTGATTTTTATCCTTGCTTGACACTTGAAGCTGCTTCACAAAAACAGAACTGGTTGTAATCAAACGGGATGAGGCAGGACCAAACAAGATAAAGGAATCCCTATAATACCCATAACGGAGTGTTGCTGAAACTGCAAAATAGAAACATAGAGAAAAAAAGGAAAAAAAGAAAAAGGCAATGCGTTAGAAAGAGTGATGAAAGGAGGGAGGGAAGCACAGAAGATGAAAAATGACATGCCAGAAATCCAAATGGCGAGAGGAGGCAGCATCCAAGCATGTTGCCACCGGTGAGGCTGAGATTGTGCAGTGCGCATGGGTGGATGTAACAGAGCTATTGATTTGATACAATTCAAGATAGCAGCATTGAGAGTTGAAGAGTTTGTCTCTTCTTTTATGAAACTAAACGTTAGGTGTGGTGTGAGAGATTGGCGGGTATTTGAATTGCTGGTACAGGCATGTATGTTGAACGTTAGGTGCTACTTACTATAAGTTTAATTACTTTCCACATCAACTAGTTCAATTCTGCATTTCTTTTCATTAATATACTTCTTCAAGAGTAAACACAATCAAACGTTAAACACTGACTGACAGACTTAAGAGTACATCATCACCTTATAATTTCTTGTGCACATGGATACAATTTTAACATTAAATATTACAGCACTTAATCATAAAAGTAAACAGTGTCTACATATGCATGCTAACAAAATTAAAATGAACGAAAGCATAGCAAAGCATGGTAAGGTTTACCGTTTATATCAAAATACTGACAGCAAGCGTGACAAAAATTAAAATAGATGTCTTTTACAAGGAATACACACGCTGATATGCAGATAGGGCGGATATGCCTATAATTAAGATATGTTTGACAGATGATGTAAAAGTTAAAAGCTGAAGAAACAACATTATATATTATAGTACAAGAAACATAATATTTGGGTTTTAAGGTTTAAAAGCAAGTAAAAAGACTGTCTGAAAAATATGTAAAAGTAGACAAGACAAACATTATTCAAGAACAAAAACAGGTGCAACTATATTTGTAGACGACAACATGGGTCACTCCCTGTCGTCAATGACCCACAAAAAATTGAATAACTTCATGGTCAGATATTGTATTTTGTGGCGTCCAGAATAGGGTATGGTGCCCTTGCTGGCCTAGTTGACTTTGTTTGTCGTTGTATTTGAATTATGTATATTCTTCTCTTAAGAAAACACGTATTGAGTTTGAATTATTGAGNGTGTTATAATCACTCATTTCCTATCACTAGCTATCTCTTGGCTGTGGCTACAAGCTCATACAAGGTTAATAGATTTTGGGTCAAACCACTATGTTCCCGAGTTACAAAACTAGGTGTGGTTTATGTACCATGGTGGCTCCTGATTCCAGCAATCAGACAAACAATAGTTTTGGTAAATTTCAGCTTAACAGCCTATTATAGAGGAATATGTTAATTCCTTTTAGTTAAAGTATCAGGACATCATGGAAGGGTGAGTATACAACTTTCAACACAAAATGACTTCAAGGGCCAGGACTATATCAGAGGGTAGAATATTTCTATACAAAGTGACAGACTTAAAGAAAATGATGTTTGGGGAAATTGAAAAAAGCTTTTTATGATGGAATAAGCTATATCATGCTCGATATAGATAAATTCGTGCCCTCACCGATGAATTGCTGCATACTAAACATGATATTAGTTCGCGGGGAATACTGAGCTGATGCCAAATCCGAACAAAAATCTGTCTTACAAATGACTTGGAGTTCCTTTATTCTCAGCAACTTCTTTTATAAAAATGCTTTTAAATACTTTAAGGGAATAAAAGTATACCTTTTCTTTCATAATTGTAACAAACAAACAAACACAACTTACATTTATGATGAATTTCTAAAGATCAAGTTACCTTCTATATATACTTAAAAACCTCCTTTTTAAAACCAAATATTAGACACAAGTAGTAAAAAGTCTTTTTTTTTTTTTTTCAAATCACTACATCTATTGGAAGAGCTATTCATGGTTGAATCAAGAAAACAAAAAATCAGACTTTTTAAAGTTAAAAAGCATTGTTCAATACAAGTGTCAGTTACGGGTAAGAACAAATTTATCTGTGTGAACTTGTGATGAAAATATGAAAAGAATATATAAGAAAAGTCTATTTTTTTTGGTTGCTTAGTTAGCCGAAGTATATGCTGAAACGATAGTTACCCATTTCCCCTGCAGCTTCATGCAAAAAATAGAAAATAACATCATTCAATCTCTTCACAAAACCCACACCCAAAGTCTAATTCCCAGCTATCTACATGATCCCTCAAATCACATCACTACAAGACACATGTCTGTGAGCCTAAATGGGAAACAATCTTCGTACATTGTGAATAAGCCTTCGGCATATAGGACATACTCTGCTCTCCTCATCGACAATCCTGCAAAATGCACTCAAATGTGAATCTTCTGAACTTTGTATAAACTGAAGCCTGTGAAAATATTCAGTAGTGAGTACCTCTGTGCGCAGTCATAGCAAGTGGCACAGTGTCCACAAGGAACAAAGAAGCTGTTGCGTTGTTCATCATAACAAATGCAACATAATTTTTCATCATATAACTCCTCTGAGGAAGAGCTACTACATGCTTCTGAATTTTGTTTATCATCTTTTGCATTTGTTCCATATGACATTCGATTTTCCTCCCCTCGCATCAATGGCTCAGTTTCGGCCCGTGTTGCAACCACATTACTTGTTCTGTATGTAACATCGATTGTAACTTGACTATGCTGCTCAGCATCACCATAAACTCCAAGAATTTTCAGAATCAGATAAACAACAATCGCAATAACTCCTACACGCAAAAATGCGGCATCTTTAGCAACAAAAAGTATATATAATTCAACCAAAGGCTTCAGAACAGAAACTTTAATCATTGTACCTAGAAGTAATACGTAGACAAACACACGGGCCACTAAAGAAATGTCAACATACGTTACCCCATCTCCCTGTAACCAATCGATGTAACAATGTATTGTTGAGTTACTTCGGTGAAGATCTCCAAAGTTAAATGAGTCAGACAAGGTTTCTTGTGCCTTACATTGTTGGCTGCCGTAAGAATAACATAATGAGTATCTGGGAAGAAAAAACTGAGCTTACAAGGTCCATTTTCAGTGGAGCACATCTTCTTGGCTTTGGTGGTATCATATACCTTTGCTGAAACATTAACTTCCATAGTCAAGATTATGTTCTTTGCATTCATGTTTAGAACTCCAATGTGGTATCTATCATCTTCCTCGACCATGTATTCAGCTTCTTTACCTAGTAATGTCCACAAAAATCAAAATGCCCTGCCTCTTTCAAAATTTCCATTTAGCTAGCAAATAAAAGATAAATGGGCGTAACACTAGAGAATAGAATTGGACATATTGCTCCTTAATTGGTATGAATTTCTTATTGAAAGAAATAATGACTGACGTAAGCTTTCTGAAAAAAGATTGTTTCTTTAAAATAAAGTCATGACAAGCGAGAAGCAACTTATAATGAACAACAATAAGTATTGCTGATTATTGTTGACTAGTAATATGACTAAATAGTATAGTAAATGAGAGTCAACCCTCTTCTTTTAAATTAGTTTTTAATGTTGAGTTAAATTTTAAGATGATGTAAATGAAAGTTTACCTTAATAATTGTTAAACTTAACAAACAGGGTGTTATCAAACAACTCAAATGAATAATCTTTGTCAAGAATAGGGTAGGTTGAGAATCTCACGTCAATTATTAATGAGAGAAATAGTGTATAGAAGTACAAAAGAATTTGGAATTCGTGATCCAAATTCTAGTTTCAAAATTGCAGCCCATGCTTAATTACTAATATCACTAAAGTCGTTTTTGACCCAATTTTTTGCTAAGACAGCTAATTCTGTAATCAATTACCATTAACAGTCTCTCGAAGAGAAATTGAATTGAGGAAGGTCGTATGTGAATCCTGTAGTTGTTCAAACTTCACGTCTCCTGCGAAATAAGAATGATTCTTGAGACAAACCTGAAATTCATACTAAAAAAAATGAAAAAAGAGAGACAGGCATGACCTTTAACCACCATCCCATGTAGCTTATCCAAACCAGTAGTAGTATGTTCTTCCCACCTAAGACGGATGGTGGAGCCGTGATTTAACCACAGAGAAATCCCCTGAAGTTGAAAAGTCAATTTCTTCAAAGACATTCTTCTGGGTGATTGCTTTAGAACAAACCAAACCAAACCAAACCTTGTAACAATGTTACCTTGCTTTTATACGCTTCAACAAGGAAAAAATCCGACGCCGTCCAATTAGTTTGGGAGCTCAACTCGGGCTTCTTATTGAAAGTGTGAACAAAGACTTGATTTTTATCCTTGCTTGACACTTGAAGCTGCTTCACAAAAACAGAACTGGTTGTAATCAAACGGGATGAGGCAGGACCAAGCAAGATAAAGGAATCCCTGTAATACCCATAACGGAGTGTTGCTGAAACTGCAAAATAGAAACATAGAGAAAAAAAGGAAAAAAAGAAAAAGGCAATGCGTTAGAAAGAGTGATGAAAGGAGGGAGGGAAGCACAGAAGATGAAAAATGACATGCCAGAAATCCAAATGGCGAGAGGAGGCAGCATCCAAGCATGTTGCCACCGGTGAGGCTGAGATTGTGCAGTGCGCATGGGTGGATGTAACAGAGCTATTGATTTGATACAATTCAAGATAGCAGCATTGAGAGTTGAAGAGTTTGTCTCTTCTTTTATGAAACTAAACGTTAGGTGTGGTGTGAGAGATTGGCGGGTATTTGAATTGCTGGTACAGGCATGTATGTTGAACGTTAGGTGCTACTTACTATAAGTTTAATTACTTTCCACATCAACTAGTTCAATTCTGCATTTCTTTTCATTAATATACTTCTTCAAGAGTAAACACAATCAAACGCTAAACACTGACTGACAGACTTAAGAGTACATCATCACCTTATAATTTCTTGTGCACATGGATACAATTTTAACATTAAATATTACAGCACTTAATCATAAAAGTAAACAGTGTCTACATATGCATGCTAACAAAATTAAAATGAACGAAAGCATAGCAAAGCATGGTAAGGTTTACCGTTTATATCAAAATACTGACAGCAAGCGTGACAAAAATCAAAATAGATGTCTTTTACAAGGAATACACACGCTGATATGCAGATAGGGCGGATATGCCTATAATTAAGATATGTTTGACAGATGATGTAAAAGTCAAAAGCTGAAGAAACAACAGTATATATTATAGTACAAGAAACATAATATTTGGGTTTTAAGGTTTAAAAGCAAGTAAAAAGACTGTCTGAAAAATATGTAAAAGTAGACAAGACAAACATTATTCAAGAACAAAAACAGGTGCAACTATATTTGTAGACGACAACATGGGTCACTCCCTGTCGTCAATGACCCACAAAAAATTGAATAACTTCATGGTCAGATATTGTATTTTGTGGCGTCCAGAATAGGGTATGGTGCCCTTGCTGGCCTAGTTGACTTTGTTTGTCGTTGTATTTGAATTATGTATATTCTTCTCTTAAGAAAACACGTATTGAGTTTGAATTATTGAGAGTCTAAAAATTCTCACTGTTGCCAAATGGAATGAATGAGTGATGGTGTAGAAATATAGAGAAAAATTGGTGTAAGCTCTTGGGCCATGACCTTTTGCACTCCTCGTTTCTCTATCTGCACCGAATATCTCGAAGTGAAAAACAAAGACACCCTTTAATTTTATCTTTAAAAAGCAACCCTACCCATTAATATGTCACGAGAAGCAGTTGCAAAATTTGCAAAAATCTCTTTCTTTATTTTAATTATCTTAGAAAATATAAAAAAACTGAAATATCAATTGTAAATATTGGAAAACATTGATATTAATAATTATTTTTAGTCAATCTTCTTGATACTACTTTTTAAGTAAAAAATTTATCAAGATTATTTTAACTGGTATTGACAATTTTTTTTTCCTAAAATGACATTAATTAAAATTGTTTTTAAGCAATATTAATCACAATTATTTAAGTTAGTATATCTATTGGTTAGAGAATATTTTTGCCGACTTTTTTGTCATTATTGTCTGGAAATTCTTCAAAATAACATTGGAAAAAAATCGTTAGCAAAAGTTATCATTGTTAGTAATGATAAAAAGATAATTACATCAATATCAAAATAACCTTGACAATTACCAATAAAAAATCTAATTTATATATGTAAAACAGCCTACATGACATTTATCTAAACAATCCTTACTAATAATGATTTATAATAATAACAAAAATATTCATAATAATTTAAATAAAATCATTCCTACCAAAATCAATAAAAATAAAATAAAGCACTAGTCATTTAGTAAAAAAAAAATTTCTTATCTTTTCAATTTTATAATTTAAGAGTAAAAGTTAGAAAAATCCATTAAAAGCGTTAGCACATAAAGAAGTTATGATTGTTTAGGAGTCTATTATCCTTCTATTGAATTTTTAAAATATATTAATATTAGTATATTAACTTTTTAAATATATTTTAAAAAATCAAAATTAATTTTCATTTGTGTATTTTGAAATTTTAGAAAAAATATGATTATTTCTATTCATCCATGCAAAACTTCTGAAAGTTCATTCATATAATTATATGCACAAAATTCTATATTAATCAAATGTTTACACAAATAAAAACTTACTCTAATACGATCGATTATAAGAATAATTAATCGTTAAAATAATATAATTTTGCAATGATCTCAAACACACATTTGATATACCAAAAAAATAACTTCGGAGAAACATAAAAAAACATAGTTCATGCAAATTACTTATCCAATATAAAAAATAATACAGTAAAAACATAATGTTAGGGTGCCTTTCTTTTTCAGGCCACACCACCATCAGTTTCAACTTCCAATCTTCCTTATTAGTAAGAACAAGTTCTGATCGACTGCAAACTTAACACAATGAGAAGCATGTCCTCTCAGCATCAACTGAAGCCCTCCAAATGATGCATATACCTCCCTGGTGCAAGAAAAAGAACTCGGTTGGAGAATTGACCAATCTCAAGAACAAAAGCATAAACTGAGGTAGAACTATGAAAGAAAAACATGCGCCGTCATACTGTGATTGCAAAGACACGAGACTCGATTAAGCAAAATGTAAATAACATTCTAATCAAACTCCATGAAATAAGTAGACAAACATAAAGCTTACAAATATGCAACTAAACTATTTCTCTGCTAATACAATTTGCATGTAAAGCACGATTTGATTGAACATCCTAGATCCTCAGATGATACTTTTAACGAGAACAAAATGTAGTAAGACACCAATATGGAAAAAATGTACGTACACTTCAAACTCAGGTTTTGAACATCCCTCAATGTTATACAGCCTTCCATGCATGATGTATTCAAACTTGTCTTGAATTGACACCTTGCCCTCCTGGAGAAAGATCAATTCAGTGTGAAGCCAGTATTGACTACGTTTGCGACAATTATAATTCATTGAATTTGTTGAGAATAATCCAAGTGTGAACCCATGAACCCATGACTCCAAGTGGAAATAATTCATGCATGAAAGACTCAAGAACTGATTGCCTTAAAATTATGGGCTAAAAGTGGTGTTAAATGCTTTATGTGTGTTAAGACTTATGTCACATATATAACCTCTTCCTAATAAACCTCTCTATAACATAACTCAGTGGTATCAAAACCTGGTTCAAGATGACTGACTTATATCACTATAACAACAACAACATCGTAACCATAACAAAAAGGTATTAGTATGACCATAACCGTAACAAAAAGGTATTAGTATCACCACTTAGACCGCTATAACAACAACACTAACATAACCATAACAACAGGGTATAAATAGCTTATCGTACATGTTAGGTTTCTGGGTATGAAACATAACTGTCTCACAGCACACACTCACACAATAGCACCCAAATGGTAAGAAAAGAATGAAAATATGTATTCACATCAACCAATGTCATGTACATCAACCAATGTCATGTACAAGCAGTAACTGGGAGCATAATCCCCCTCCAGAGGATCAAGGTTCCTGTCTATACAATTGATATCAAAAATTGTCCCCTCTACCAGACCCCCCTTGCCTTCTTATAAAGGCAACCCACTTCTAACTACCCAACAACAATTAATTCCTAAACTGAACAATTAATTCTTCAACTGTTTTCTCTCTCCTGCACACCTATTACCCATTATAACCTATCATATTATATCCTATCAGTACACCAGAGGGAAAATATAATATATGAAAGAAACTTATCCTTGAGGAGAGATTGTTGAGAATAATCCAAGTTAAGTAAAAGTTAAAAGTAGTGTCAAATGCCTTATGTCATTTAAGACTCTTGTCACATTTCTAACCTCTCCCTAATAAACCCCTCTATAACATAATCCATCAGAATTTAATTTAACAGATACCTTTCACATACTTATATATTACCATCATATGGTAGTTNCATGTACAAGCAGTAACTGGGAGCATAATCCCCCTCCAGAGGATCAAGGTTCCTGTCTATACAATTGATATCAAAAATTGTCCCCTCTACCAGACCCCCCTTGCCTTCTTATAAAGGCAACCCACTTCTAACTACCCAACAACAATTAATTCCTAAACTGAACAATTAATTCTTCAACTGTTTTCTCTCTCCTGCACACCTATTACCCATTATAACCTATCATATTATATCCTATCAGTACACCAGAGGGAAAATATAATATATGAAAGAAACTTATCCTTGAGGAGAGATTGTTGAGAATAATCCAAGTTAAGTAAAAGTTAAAAGTAGTGTCAAATGCCTTATGTCATTTAAGACTCTTGTCACATTTCTAACCTCTCCCTAATAAACCCCTCTATAACATAATCCATCAGAATTTAATTTAACAGATACCTTTCACATACTTATATATTACCATCATATGGTAGTTAAAGCTTGAAACACCCTGCTAAATATCTCTTCACTTATTCTGACACTAATCCTTAACCATCTATAATTTGTTTAATCCCATTCAGGCATTACAACTACTTGTTCCAGTTTCTAAATAAGTGCATTTGCAAGCAGATAACCTTAGGGTAACATTCTGAGACCTTTCTCCACAGTCAACTACAACATGACTTGTATTTCAAAGTATGGAAGGCATTTAATTTAATTTGACTCAGCGCCTTTTCGTTCTAAATCTACCTTAACCAGTTCATGTTGTTTAGTTAGCACCATCAGAAAGAACCTTCCATTATATATGTGATCGAGAGACAATGAGCCAATTTTTAGCTAAGTCCACAATATGATCAGGCAGAAAACAAAGCGTATATAAGAATTGGATTATAGAAGAGGTTTAAGCACGGAACTGTAAATGAATTAGTTTACCTTAGTATTCAAAACAAGTGAAGGAGACAAAGCCATCAAGAATCTTTCTTTTTCCTTCATAGGATAAATCTCTGTATTTACATCTAGAAGCATGTACATGTCACGCTTCTCACTCCGTGCCACAATCCGAGAAACTGCAAGAACATAGCAACGATCCTGTAAATGCTCAAAGAACTTTGTCTAACAAACATTATTCATAAGATCAAATAAGTTTTTCAACTAATAAAACTAGGAACTAACATAGGTCTACTATCGACCTAAAGTAACAACTAAAGTATAAAATTATTGCAAATTGAACAACATGCCATTGCTAAATTCAATTAAGTGGCAAATCTCTATCACAACCTACCAGAACCCGAATACCAATGTTTCCATAATTAAATTCTCCACTTGTACCCTAGGTTCATAGTCATTTGTCACTAAAAGTGAGATTTACTCTTGGAGCCAAAGCAAAATTATATTCTCCTTAATTTTCTGAAAAGACCTCAGCTCAATATGGTTTGTTTCATAAATTAAAACTCCTAAAAAAATAGAACCTAGCATTTTATTTATATCTCTGAAAACTCATTATGATTTAGGAAAATAATAACAATAATGTTCTAGCCAAAACTACTGCAATGCTAACAATAAACAGAATAGAGCCATTGTTAGGTTCTTTATCCAAGAACCTAGGAAAAACTCACTTCCTACTCTGCAAACACACTCTCTGACAAAGAAATACTTCTTTTATTCACTTTCAATCAACAGAAAGAATACAGAGAGCTTAACCTCTCCCCCTCAGGACAATGAGTCCTGATTAGCAAATTCACTAAGGTCCAAAAAGATCCCTCCCCCAACTGATCACAACTATTTATACAAGTTCAAAAGCTTTTCCCCGCGCCCTCTAACTGCCCAAACAGTTAGACCAACTAACTATGTTTCTTTCTTCTCTCATAGACTAATAACGGTCTAACAGCCATACTTTCCAATAACCAATGATTCTTGTTGAGGCAACTTTCAAGTTCAAAATCATACAGCAGTTTGATCTTTAAAAGCATGAAAATGAAATGATACAAAGAAATAAGAGGTGCCCATACCCTTGTCATACTTTTTGCCATCTGGATCTAGAGTCTCAACCATGAAAATATCATCAAAAAGAAGTTCACTCATTCTCTCTTCCTTCAAAACCAATTACTTTCAGTTATCCAAACTCCAGAGCAGAGCAGCAGCCTAATACTGAACATATTGAGATTAGCACTAGAATTTAAAGGAAGAGCATCTATATGTATCCCTAAAAGAAAATTTAGAAATATAACCATTAAAGAAGCCACAATGACACTACCATGATATTCAACTCGTAGCATCTCAGTCACAACATTTCATGTGCCAAGACGTCATTAGACCATTCAAGAAAAATAGTAAAACACTTCAACAATTACAAATTAACAACATTCCATAAATTTAATCTTCCAACTTCCACACCAGTATGATAATTAAATACTAATTACAGATATGAATACAAGGCATTATAGTTTACCATCACTCTCCAGTTTTCTCCAATCTTGGCTCTCTCAACAAATAACATACAATGCAGTGAAACAGTTATTATAAAGATGCATAACTTTTGAAATTAAAAAAAAATTACAATTAGGTTCTTGAATTGTGTTTTTGGAATTCAGCTGACTCATGCATAAAGACATCAGGGGATTCTACATAGGATAAGGAGTGATAAAAACTCCTGATTTGATGATGATCTTGTGATCCTAAATTCTCCTTCTAAAATACTTGTACACTCATGCATCAAAGCAACATAAACATCACTCTAAAACAAATGAAAAAAACAAAATCACAACTGTAATGTCACAGCATAAGATACAAATTCAAGCATTCAACTTCTTAATAGAAAGTTGTATTCGTAATAGAAAAGTCATAACTCATTTTACATAGCTAATAACAAAATTCTATTCAAAGGTTCAGCCTCTGTTATTCAAAAGAAAATCTATAGAAACCCTTAAAAAAAACAATAATCAAAATAGAATAGAGAGTGATTGAGTAGATGAGACTAACCAAGAATAGAATGGATGTCCAGTTCAATAAGCCGCAAATCCCCAAGCGGCGACTCCCTTGGGCAGTAGCTGTTGTGAAAGAAGAAAAAGTTCAGTGAGGGCAAGATATAGAGATTTTCGACTAGACTCTTATGGAAAGCTAAAATAAATAACTTCCCTTAAAATATTTTGTATCTTTAAATTTAAAAAATTTATTTACCTTTTTCAGTTGTTTATTTTATTTTATTCTTTTTTATATTGTTCACTTATGATATATTTACCTTTTTCAGTTGTTTAATTTATTTTATTTTTTATATTGTTCACTTAAAATATGTTTTATTTTTTATTTGAAATCTGATTTTCGATTTCCTTACCATTTTAGTTTATTTAATTTTATCTTAAGTCACTTAATTTTACAAAGTGATTTCTCTGTTTTATTTTTATTATATGTTTAATTTATTTAATTTTTTATTACATAATTTTTTATTGTAACTATTAAAATAAAAAATATTATTAAATTTATGAAATAATTATGAATAAATATTTTTTATAATTTAGTTACAGATTATATATAGCTAATCAACTTTAAAACAATACTTATAACCTTTAAAATATAAAATAATAAAATAGATATATTAATAAAAATAAATTTTGTAACTAATGCATGTATTAAAAGTTGTTATAGAAAGAAATTTTATAATTATAGATAAATTACATCATGTGAAATTTAAAATTTTGAAAACTTTTTTAACTTTTTAAATAATTAAAGTAAAAAGATAATAACTGTTGATCACTTTGTTATATTTCTGATTAAGAAAATAATATATCCATAGTCTTCTATATATATATATATTCTAACTTTAATGTTATTATAAAAAAATATGAACACAAAATATCATATAATAAGATTAAAAAGTTACCTAAACAATTGCCAGCAATGACTACAGTAATAGAACTAAGTTATATAGATTGAAAAACAATTTTAAAATTAAATATAAAAGCAAAGTTATTCAGTCAAATTCTCTCACCATATATATTAAATGAAAGAATTAAATAATTTAGGTTACCGCCTATAAAAAATACAGAACTTTTTATTCATTGAAAAGAAGCCCGCCTTTGGCGGTTGGGCGCCATATGGAATTTTTTACTCTCAATCTAAAACATTTGCCTCACTAAAACCACATTTTTGAATTTAGAACCAAAGCCAAATCCTAAAATTTTTCAGACACACCAAATCATTCTAGTTTTCATTTGAAAACCCGCTCTTTGTTTTGTCTACTCATTATATATACATATACATTATGGCACAATCTCTTCCTTACCCAACATCTCAACTGCATCTTGTTTCTTTTTTCCATCCTTTATTTGTTCCAAAATAACAACACAGAGGAACAAGATGGAGACCCGTGCAGCTGCAAAGAGAAAGGCAACCGCTGCTGCTGCTCCCATGGTGGTGGTCCAAAAACAACATCCCAAAAGGCAGCGTGTTGTGCTGGGTGAACTTTCAAATTTTCCGAATGCAACTCAAAACAAACGCAAAGAGAAACTACAATGTCGGAAGAATCCAAATTTAAAGAAACCATCTCCCACAGAGTTCATTTCCTCTTCATCACAGTTTGACCAACCTTACGTTTTCGACATCTATGAGTATCTTCATGGGATGGAGGTAGTTCTTATTCATTAATGTCAACAAAGTTTTGATTTTGTCCAAGCTGACAATTTTCGGTGATGTTGAGTGTCTGTTTCAAATTCTAAATTTCTGGTTTCAGATGCAGAAGAAGAGGAGACCAATGATTGACTACATCGAGAAAGTTCAGGGAGAAGTTACTGTAATCATGAGGACAATATTGGTGAATTGGTTAGTGGAGGTAGCTGAAGAGTACAATCTTCACTCGGATACCCTTCATCTCTCTGTTTCATACATAGATAGATTTTTGTCAGTGAATCCTGTTAGTAAGTCAAGACTTCAATTACTTGGTGTTTCGGCCATGCTCATTGCTGCGTAAGTCTTTATTTCCTTTTTGAAGTTAGCTATCTTTGATTTGATGTGTTTAAACTTCATATTTGCATTCCTCTTTTATATTCAGAAAGTATGACGAAGTTGATCCACCCCGTGTTGATGCTTTTTGCAACATCACTGACAACACATACAAGAAGGCAGAGGTAAATATCCTTAACTGTTCTCTTTTATCTCTTATTATTATTGTTTTTCACTTTTATGATCTTTAATTTACCCCTTAGATTGGTTATATGGGTGCTTGTAATGTATAGGTTGTAAAGATGGAAGCTGACATACTCAAGTCTCTAAAGTTTGAGATGGGAAATCCTACTGTGAACACCTTTCTAAGGTAAGAGGATATATACCTTAAATGTTAATATGAATTTCAGCTTTTATTGAAATAAAATTGAGTGTTCTCATTTTTTCAGGAGGTTTGTTGATGTTGCTTGTGATAACCAAAAGGTAAGTTAAATATTTCTTCATCTACTTATTATTTTAATTTTCTTGAAAGCTCTATTGTGTTGTTTACTAATTGTTACTATGTTATATTGTTTCAGGCTTCAAATTTACAGTTTGAATTTCTAAGCTGCTATCTTGCTGACCTAAGTTTGTTGGACTACGATTGCTTGAGAATTTTGCCTTCTATAGTGGCAGCTTCAGCTGTATTTCTTGCCAGATTTATTATTGCTCCTGAAGTTCATCCTTGGGTAAATGTCTAATGTTATAATATACTTTTAGAAGTATAACCTGTTAATTGTATTTTAAGGACTAAATATTGAGAACCTATTGCAGACTTCTTCCTTGTCTGAGTGTTCTGGTTACAAACCAGTTGAACTGAAAGAATGTGTCATGATTTTGCATGACTTGTATTTTTCAAGAAAGGCATCGTTTTTCAAAGCTGTCAGGGAGAAATACAAGCAGCACAAGGTATTTTTCATTTGTTATGATATATACTTCAATTTGATTTGAACAAATTGAGTGACATGAAATCTTTTGCTGGAACAGTTCAAGTTCGTAGCAAGATTGCCTTCTCCTCCACATATACCAAGTCATTACTTTGAAACTCAGTGATGCACTGAGAATCCTTCATAAAAACGCCTCAATCAGAAAAGATAGCATTTTTGTGCACTGATTTACTTAGATGGAAGTTGGTATCTTTTAAATGTATATTTGATCTGAAAGAGCAACAGGATAGGTTAGGTACCACTGTTCTGTCACTTTTACCGTGAATCATCATGGAAAAAAGTGATGGGTCGATTAACAGGATGAAGACTTTTATCTGCATTTTTATCACTGAGCCTAAGGAAAAATGTACACATCCATGATCTATATACTACTGAACACAGTTGCTGAGTATTATTGTTATAGTTTTGATTCAAGATGGACTGAAAATAATTAGTTCTTCCAAGAGAACTTTCATTCGGGTGAAGTAGGAAATGTGTTTGTCATAATGAGAATTTCTTCTGAATTTGGAAGGATTTAGTTCTTTCTATGTGGAAAGAGGAATTTGAGATCTTGCTTCACATCATTGATCCACATGTTGATAATTGCAATCTCGAGGAAGACAGTGATTCAACCAAGAAAGCAGCAACAACTTATTATAGTACTTCCAAACAGAATGCCAAGGGATATTGATTTCTGTGTCTCGAGATGGTAGCATCAACAGATTTCCATCTATTCGCCTTCTGCAAAGCATGACTTGAGTTTTGTTGGTGTTGATTTAGAAGTCTTCTACATGGGAGATGATCTTCAATTTAATGCATAATGAACCCTCCCAAGACTATTGTGAGGTGAACTTTTATGACCACTAGACATATCCAACAATGTCAACTACTCGATTGAGACGTAAACACTGAAATTAAGGAAGACCAAAGGAGAAGGTGTTGAAATCTCTAGTGAAGGAAATAAAAATGTATAAAATTTTAATGGTTTTATTTTTAAATATTTTGTTGGAAAGAATGGTTTTAAATTTTTGTTTTAGTAAATTATTTAAACTACTATCAAATGTTACTTGGTGGTATGTTTTAATTGATAGTATTTAAAAAGTTATTGTGTATGTTTACAATAATTTTTGTTTTACTTGATATCTTCAATTATTTTATCCTTTAAATAAACAAATTGTGAAGAAAATTATACAGTAATATATAGTATTCCTAATTATCTTTTCTTTATATTTAATTACCTTATTTATATAAATTAATTGATTGATTTACGTGCCTGAAAATATAATCAAATATTTATTTATTATCTGAATTATCTTCATTAATATTTTCCATTTGTAACACTAAATAATTTGTGATTAATGATTAAAACTAAAACAAATTAAAAAATATCAGAGAATACAAAAAAGAAAAGTTAAAAAAAAACTAAAATAAATTCATATTTTCCAATAATTCAAACAACTTTGAACCTGTAAAATATTTGTCACTTTGAAGTTTTAACATATTGTTATTTCATTACAATGTGTATTAAATATAGAAAATAATTAAATAATTTTACTAAAAACTATTAACCCATGCGTAGTTTTTGTGTAATTTTATATTTATTTAAGAAAAATAATATAATTAAACATATTTATGAATAAATAAGTTTTGAATTTGTTTTAATAATAATATATAAATATGGTAAAGAAGCAAAAAAAATTTAATGTAATGAGAATTGATAATTTATTTATTAAATGGTAAGATTCTACTAATGTGTAATATATATATATATATATTTCTTTCTTCAATTTGATGGGTAAGGCAGAAAAAAAGAGCGCGTGAAAATCTCACTTCACACAACACCTGAATTTTTCAACACAAGCTAAATTTTCAATTGAAAAACACTTTTGTTTCTTGTATCCATTCTATATAATCAACCCCACCACTCTTCCAATCACCCCAAAATTCAAAAACTCTTAAATCCAAATTAAAACGCTCAAGGAAATGAAAAAAGACATGGAAACTCTTGCAGGAAAGGGAAAGTCAAATGCCATTGCCTCCGTTGTGGTTCAGAGACAACATCCCAAGAAGCAACGGGTTGGGTTCACTCAACCTTCCAATTTACCAAACATCATTCTCTCAAAAAATGAGTCTTTGCAAAGAGAATCTGCAATCTCCTGGAATAACGTCAACCTTGAAAAACCAAATTCCATAAACAACTTTCTTCTTTCCTCTCAAATTCATGAACTTGATGTTTGGGACATCAATGAGTATCTTCGTGTCTTGGAGGTGACTATGTTTCTTTTAACATTAGCAAATTCTTAATTTTGTCTAAACTTATCAGTTTGTTGATATTGTGAGGTCTCTGAATTTTTAAGTTGTTTGTTTCTTGGTATGCAGAGAAAAAGAAGACCTGTGGTTAACTATATTCAAAAAGTTCAAAGAACAATTACCTCCAACAACAGAGCAGTACTGGTGGATTGGTTAGTAGAAGTTGCCGAGCAGTACAATCTTCTCTCCGATACTCTTCTGCTCTGTGTGTCATACATTGATAGATTTTTATCAGTCCAGCCCATGATCAGATCGAGGCTTCAATTGTTGGGTGTTTCCTGCATGTTCATTGCTTCGTAAGCTTTCAATGCCCGTTCTTAATTTTGCAAAGATTGTTTTCCTTAATTTGTTTAAGCATTACAATTTCTTTCTCGCCATACCTTTAGGAAATATGAAGAAATTAATCCACCCAGTTTGAATGAGTTTTGCAACATCACTGACAACACCTATGACAAAACAGAGGTAAATATGTCATTGTTGCATTTTTTTTTATGCTACCAGAATAAGCCTTGTTTCCTATTTGTTAGTTATTTCTCCCTACTTTGGTTTCCATGGTTGTGAAGATTATNGTTATATTTCTGATTAAGAAAATAATATATCCATAGGCTTCTATATATATATATATTCTAACTTTAATGTTATTATAAAAAAATATGAACACAAAATATCATATAATAAGATTAAAAAGTTACCTAAACAATTGCCAGCAATGACTACAGTAATAGAACTAAGTTATATAGATTGAAAAACAATTTTAAAATTAAATATAAAAGCAAAGTTATTCAGTCAAATTCTCTCACCATATATATTAAATGAAAGAATTAAATAATTTAGGTTACCGCCTATAAAAAATACAGAACTTTTTATTCATTGAAAAGAAGCCCGCCTTTGGCGGTTGGGCGCCATATGGAATTTTTTACTCTCAATCTAAAACATTTGCCTCACTAAAACCACATTTTTGAATTTAGAACCAAAGCCAAATCCTAAAATTTTTCAGACACACCAAATCATTCTAGTTTTCATTTGAAAACCCGCTCTTTGTTTTGTCTACTCATTATATATACATATACATTATGGCACAATCTCTTCCTTACCCAACATCTCAACTGCATCTTGTTTCTTTTTTCCATCCTTTATTTGTTCCAAAATAACAACACAGAGGAACAAGATGGAGACCCGTGCAGCTGCAAAGAGAAAGGCAACCGCTGCTGCTGCTCCCATGGTGGTGGTCCAAAAACAACATCCCAAAAGGCAGCGTGTTGTGCTGGGTGAACTTTCAAATTTTCCGAATGCAACTCAAAACAAACGCAAAGAGAAACTACAATGTCGGAAGAATCCAAATTTAAAGAAACCATCTCCCACAGAGTTCATTTCCTCTTCATCACAGTTTGACCAACCTTACGTTTTCGACATCTATGAGTATCTTCATGGGATGGAGGTAGTTCTTATTCATTAATGTCAACAAAGTTTTGATTTTGTCCAAGCTGACAATTTTCGGTGATGTTGAGTGTCTGTTTCAAATTCTAAATTTCTGGTTTCAGATGCAGAAGAAGAGGAGACCAATGATTGACTACATCGAGAAAGTTCAGGGAGAAGTTACTGTAATCATGAGGACAATATTGGTGAATTGGTTAGTGGAGGTAGCTGAAGAGTACAATCTTCACTCGGATACCCTTCATCTCTCTGTTTCATACATAGATAGATTTTTGTCAGCGAATCCTGTTAGTAAGTCAAGACTTCAATTACTTGGTGTTTCGGCCATGCTCATTGCTGCGTAAGTCTTCATTTCCTTTTTGAAGTTAGCTATCTTTGATTTGATGTGTTTAAACTTCATATTTGCATTCCTCTTTTATATTCAGAAAGTATGACGAAGTTGATCCACCCCGTGTTGATGCTTTTTGCAACATCACTGACAACACATACAAGAAGGCAGAGGTAAATATCCTTAACTGTTCTCTTTTATCTCTTATTATTATTGTTTTTCACTTTTATGATCTTTAATTTACCCCTTAGATTGGTTATATGGGTGCTTGTAATGTATAGGTTGTAAAGATGGAAGCTGACATACTCAAGTCTCTAAAGTTTGAGATGGGAAATCCTACTGTGAACACCTTTCTAAGGTAAGAGGATATATACCTTAAATGTTAATATGAATTTCAGCTTTTATTGAAATAAAATTGAGTGTTCTCATTTTTTCAGGAGGTTTGTTGATGTTGCTTGTGATAACCAAAAGGTAAGTTAAATATTTCTTCATCTACTTATTATTTTAATTTTCTTGAAAGCTCTATTGTGTTGTTTACTAATTGTTACTATGTTATATTGTTTCAGGCTTCAAATTTACAGTTTGAATTTCTAAGCTGCTATCTTGCTGACCTAAGTTTGTTGGACTACGATTGCTTGAGAATTTTGCCTTCTATAGTGGCAGCTTCAGCTGTATTTCTTGCCAGATTTATTATTGCTCCTGAAGTTCATCCTTGGGTAAATGTCTAATGTTATAATATACTTTTAGAAGTATAACCTGTTAATTGTATTTTAAGGACTAAATATTGAGAACCTATTGCAGACTTCTTCCTTGTCTGAGTGTTCTGGTTACAAACCAGTTGAACTGAAAGAATGTGTCATGATTTTGCATGACTTGTATTTTTCAAGAAAGGCTGTCAGGGAGAAATACAAGCAGCACAAGGTATTTTTCATTTGTTATGATATATACTTCAATTTGATTTGAACAAATTGAGTGACATGAAATCTTTTGCTGGAACAGTTCAAGTTCGTAGCAAGATTGCCTTCTCCTCCACATATACCAAGTCATTACTTTGAAACTCAGTGATGCACTGAGAATCCTTCATAAAAACGCCTCAATCAGAAAAGATAGCATTTTTGTGCACTGATTTACTTAGATGGAAGTTGGTATCTTTTAAATGTATATTTGATCTGAAAGAGCAACAGGATAGGTTAGGTACCACTGTTCTGTCACTTTTACCGTGAATCATCATGGAAAAAAGTGATGGGTCGATTAACAGGATGAAGACTTTTATCTGCATTTTTATCACTGAGCCTAAGGAAAAATGTACACATCCATGATCTATATACTACTGAACACAGTTGCTGAGTATTATTGTTATAGTTTTGATTCAAGATGGACTGAAAATAATTAGTTCTTCCAAGAGAACTTTCATTCGGGTGAAGTAGGAAATGTGTTTGTCATAATGAGAATTTCTTCTGAATTTGGAAGGATTTAGTTCTTTCTATGTGGAAAGAGGAATTTGAGATCTTGCTTCACATCATTGATCCACATGTTGATAATTGCAATCTCGAGGAAGACAGTGATTCAACCAAGAAAGCAGCAACAACTTATTATAGTACTTCCAAACAGAATGCCAAGGGATATTGATTTCTGTGTCTCGAGATGGTAGCATCAACAGATTTCCATCTATTCGCCTTCTGCAAAGCATGACTTGAGTTTTGTTGGTGTTGATTTAGAAGTCTTCTACATGGGAGATGAGCTTCAATTTAATGCATAATGAACCCTCCCAAGACTATTGTGAGGTGAACTTTTATGACCACTAGACATATCCAACAATGTCAACTACTCGATTGAGACGTAAACACTGAAATTAAGGAAGACCAAAGGAGAAGGTGTTGAAATCTCTAGTGAAGGAAATAAAAATGTATAAAATTTTAATGGTTTTATTTTTAAATATTTTGTTGGAAAGAATGGTTTTAAATTTTTGTTTTAGTAAATTATTTAAACTACTATCAAATGTTACTTGGTGGTATGTTTTAATTGATAGTATTTAAAAAGTTATTGTGTATGTTTACAATAATTTTTGTTTTACTTGATATCTTCAATTATTTTATCCTTTAAATAAACAAATTGTGAAGAAAATTATACAGTAATATATAGTATTCCTAATTATCTTTTCTTTATATTTAATTACCTTATTTATATAAATTAATTGATTGATTTACGTGCCTGAAAATATAATCAAATATTTATTTATTATCTGAATTATCTTCATTAATATTTTCCATTTGTAACACTAAATAATTTGTGATTAATGATTAAAACTAAAACAAATTAAAAAATATCAGAGAATACAAAAAAGAAAAGTTAAAAAAAAACTAAAATAAATTCATATTTTCCAATAATTCAAACAACTTTGAACCTGTAAAATATTTGTCACTTTGAAGTTTTAACATATTGTTATTTCATTACAATGTGTATTAAATATAGAAAATAATTAAATAATTTTACTAAAAACTATTAACCCATGCGTAGTTTTTGTGTAATTTTATATTTATTTAAGAAAAATAATATAATTAAACATATTTATGAATAAATAAGTTTTGAATTTGTTTTAATAATAATATATAAATATGGTAAAGAAGCAAAAAAAATTTAATGTAATGAGAATTGATAATTTATTTATTAAATGGTAAGATTCTACTAATGTGTAATATATATATATATATATTTCTTTCTTCAATTTGATGGGTAAGGCAGAAAAAAAGAGCGCGTGAAAATCTCACTTCACACAACACCTGAATTTTTCAACACAAGCCAAATTTTCAATTGAAAAACACTTTTGTTTCTTGTATCCATTCTATATAACAACCCCACCACTCTTCCAATCACCCCAAAATTCAAAAACTCTTAAATCCAAATTAAAACGCTCAAGGAAATGAAAAAAGACATGGAAACTCTTGCAGGAAAGGGAAAGTCAAATGCCATTGCCTCCGTTGTGGTTCAGAGACAACATCCCAAGAAGCAACGGGTTGGGTTCACTCAACCTTCCAATTTACCAAACATCATTCTCTCAAAAAATGAGTCTTTGCAAAGAGAATCTGCAATCTCCTGGAATAACGTCAACCTTGAAAAACCAAATTCCATAAACAACTTTCTTCTTTCCTCTCAAATTCATGAACTTGATGTTTGGGACATCAATGAGTATCTTCGTGTCTTGGAGGTGACTATGTTTCTTTTAACATTAGCAAATTCTTAATTTTGTCTAAACTTATCAGTTTGTTGATATTGTGAGGTCTCTGAATTTTTAAGTTGTTTGTTTCTTGGTATGCAGAGAAAAAGAAGACCTGTGGTTAACTATATTCATAAAGTTCAAAGAACAATTACCTCCAACAACAGAGCAGTACTGGTGGATTGGTTAGTAGAAGTTGCCGAGCAGTACAATCTTCTCTCCGATACTCTTCTGCTCTGTGTGTCATACATTGATAGATTTTTATCAGTCCAGCCCATGATCAGATCGAGGCTTCAATTGTTGGGTGTTTCCTGCATGTTCATTGCTTCGTAAGCTTTCAATGCCCGTTCTTAATTTTGCAAAGATTGTTTTCCTTAATTTGTTTAAGCATTACAATTTCTTTCTCGCCATACCTTTAGGAAATATGAAGAAATTAATCCACCCAGTTTGAATGAGTTTTGCAACATCACTGACAACACCTATGACAAAACAGAGGTAAATATGTCATTGTTGCATTTTTTTTTTATGCTACCAGAATAAGCCTTGTTTCCTATTTGTTAGTTATTTCTCCCTACTTTGGTTTCCATGGTTGTGAAGATTATAAAGATGGAAGCTGAAATACTCAAGGCCTTAAATTTTGAGATGGGAAATCCTACTGCAATCACTTTTTTGAGGTGGGAGTTTTATATGCAAATATGAATATCTAACCTCCACAAAATAGAAGTAATTTGATTAACTCAAGTGTGATTATTGTTTTAGGTTTTTATCTGGTGCTGCTTCTGATTATGAAAAAGTAAGTTGAATTGGTTTTCTCATTCTTTTGATTGTCAGAAAAGCTTTGTGTTTACATTTTCTTTTTATATTTCAGACTCCAAATTGGAAGATTGAATTTCTGGGCTGGTATTTTGCTGAGCTAAGTTTGTTGGATGATGATTGTATAAGATTCTTGCCCTCTGTTGTAGCAGCTTCCGCTTTATTTCTGGCGAGATTTTTTATTGATCCTAAAGTGCATCCTTGGGTAAGTATATGTTATAGATGGTGATAGAATTTTAATTTAAAAAGAATAATATAAATGCTCTTCAAGTACTCAATTTTGAGAGTATTTTGCAGACTTCTTTCTTGTTTGAATGTTCGGGTTACAAACCAGTTGAGTTGAAAGAGTGTGTTCTCATCTTGCATGATTTGCATTTGTCAAGGAAGGCAGAATCATTCGAAGCTGTTAGGGAGAAATACAAGCAGCACAAAGTGGTTATTTTGGCATTTCTTTTGTTATAATATATTTTCATTCTCTTCATGGCAAATTGAGTGACAATTTTTTGTACACTTCAACAGTTCAAATACGTGTCAAATCTACCTTCTCCTTCATATGTACCAAGTTACTACTTTGAAGACCAGTTGCATATGACTGATCAGCAAAAGTTATGTACGATTGACAATCTACTTGATGAAAATTTTAACCTTGTCTAGTGTATTTTTCTTGAAAATTCATCACCATTACTGTGGGAGGTAAATATTTTCAGACCATTTATCAATTTGTATTTTGAAACAATCATATTTTCTGCATAATTTTAATTTGTTTCCCTCCTCATGATGTTTGCAGTTTGTTTGAAGTTACTGGATTCAGCGTTTGTGCAATGAGAGGTGATACAGTTTGCAAATCTGCAACCCTCTAGGATCAATGAGAATTTCTATTTTTGATAGCAAAAGCTTTAATGGATAGGAGTGCATGCAGAAATGTTTTGTTCATGTTTTTTTTTTTTTCACTTTTGAATCCATGATTTAAACTATTGGGCTCTGGTTATTTGATTATTTTGTCTGAACTACAATAAGGGATTAATGACTGCATGCATGATATTTACCATTGTCTCTTTGGTTTTGGTGATTGTGATTTGTATATCTTATAATAAATTTTTCTAATTTTTTATATGGAAAGTTACTTTTTGTAAGGGTGACATAG